GTGTGTGTGTGTGTGTATGAGTGTGTGTGTGTGTGTGTATATGAGTGTGTGTGTCTGACCTCGTGCGGCTGGAGCTTCATGTCACTGAGGACCATCTGGAAGAACTCAGCTGATGGTTTTCCCACCACCTCGGCCTGGACGTCACACGCGTACTGAACAACACAACACAGGTGCATCATGGGAATGAACTGCGCTGATAGAGGGGCTGCTGGGAAATATTCCTGTGTTCATCCCTTCACTTCATTCCAGACGTATTTTAGTAACACTGAGACACTATTATAGCTTTTATTAATAATTAGAATTTTGATTTTCAAAATCTCTTTTTTTATTTCAGTTTAAATGTTTTTACTATTTTGCTGTTTTTACCATTTCATTTATTTTCATTTGAATTTTTATTAAATGTTATTTTAATTTTATCTGCTTTGGCAACTAACTGAAATAACGTGTAAAAACTAAGGAAAATGTTTTTATGGTTTTACTTCACTATAATAACTGCTTCACTTTCTTTAAAATAAGGAACCATCAAATCAGGTGAGAGCGAATATCACACACGTGACCTTTGACCTGCTGCATTCACCTCCAGTGCCTTCATAAACACACCCACGTCCAGCTTCAGACCGTCCGTCTCCTTATAGTAGCGTCTGCAGAGAAAACATGACCTGTATCAGACACACACCACTCAATCACACGAGTCTGTTTATCTGGAAACATGTCGTCTGTTTCCAAACAGGTTTCCAAAACACCACAGCCTGACCTCTGACCTCTCCAACACACTTATAGTGCATCATTTCTCCAGCCTAAGACAGGAACCCGTTTGAAAGCAGTCAGATGTGCGTGTCTCACCCTTGACCCAGCGAGAACAGCAGCGGTTTCTCCAGGCCAATCAGAACACGGAAGGCTTCGTTCAGGTTCTGGTAGGAGAAGTTATCCGCAGCGTCTCCGATGACAACACAGTTTGGAGAACTCATGTCCACACCGTCAAACTCCGGGATCAGATCTGAGATCACACACACACACGAGTCACGGGTCTGTTGTCATTCACACGTGTGTGTGTGTGTGTGTGTGTGT